CTCCTGTGTCCAGGCGTTTCATAACCTGGTCATAAAAAGAGACTAGATTAGTCTCTTTTCTAGATTAGTCGGGCACGATCTTCCTGCCACGAACCTGTGCTGGTTTCCCCTCAGCATAATTTGTCCTGCCGGGCTCTCGCAAATGTGAGCCTTGATAATTTTTTCAAAGATTTTGCCAAGGATGGAGGTGAGACTGACTGGCCTATAGTTGCCCGGGTCCTCCTTCCTCCCCTTCTTGAAAATGGGGACCACATTGGCCCTTTTCCAGTCCTCCGGGACTTTGCCCGTGTGCCACGAGCGTTCAAATATTCCCGCCAGTGACTCTGCAATGATGTCGGCCAGTGCCTTCAGCACCCTCGGATGGAGCTCATCCGGGCCTGCCAACTTAAAGGCATCCAGTTCTTCCAAGTGACTCTGCACCATCTCAGGGTCTACACATGGTAGTCTGGGCCCTTGCTGCTGCCTCTCTACAACCCCAGTGAGAGACTTGTTGTACCCCTTGCTTAGGAACACTGAGGCAAAGAACTCGTTGAGGAGTTCAGCCTTGTCCCCCCTGTCCGTCACCAATTGTTTCTGCCCATTTACCAGGGGTCCTATTCCTCCCTGGGCCTTCCTTTTACTCCCTATGGCCTTCCTTTTACTCCCTAGCTCTGGTGAACAGGTGTTTTCCCAGGTCCTGATGTATCCCTCTTATGAAGTTGTAGGCTGCCACCAAGTCCTCCTGAGCCTTCTCTTCTCCAGACTGAAGAGTCCCAAGTGCCTCAGCCTCTCCTCGAAAGGCTGAGTCCCAAGTCCCTCAGCCTTTCCTCCAGGCCTTGGATCATACGATTGGCTCTTCTCTGGACTCTCTCAAGCTTCTCCACATCCTTACTGAAGTGGGGGTGCCCAATACTGGACGCAGTACTCCAGCTGCAATCTCACCAGGGCCGAGTAAATTGGGAGGATGACTTCCCTGGTTTTGTTTGAGATTCATCGGGGGATGCATGTCAGAGTTTGGTTAGCTTTGCCTGCCACTGCATCACACTGGTGGCTCATGTTCATGTTGTGGCCAATCAAGACCCCCAAGACCCCCAAGTCCCATACACAATGCAAATGAAAAAAACATTATGTACATTAGGAGTCTGAAAATATGACATGAAATAATACCTGAATAGCTTGGTTCCTTGCTGTGGTTTTCCTCATACAATGAAATCAACCTTAAATTGAAGAGGGGAAAAATCAAGAGCATATTCCTATTCTTCAGTATATTTTTTTAAAGAGATAAAATGTTAGATTAATCTCTTTTTTCAGTTGCACCATAATAGCATTAGACTAGTAACTGCACTTCCCATATAGGCTGGTAAATTATTGTTTTTTACCTGTCCAAATATCTGTTGAGGACAACCTACATTGGATTCTATATATCTAGATTTTCATAATCACCCCTAAGGATATATAACCATCCCCCACAAAATCATTCTGCATCTTATCCTATTTGCTTTGGAACAGCAGTGAAATATGGTGGACCAGTTTCAGCCCACATGCAAGCCCATCAACTCCAATCAAGTTATACCCAGGTTCATTTTATCACATCATTAGCACAGATTCAGGACTGACTGCTGCTGTTATGGGTTTTTGATGCAGATCTAAATAATAGTATAGACATGCTCTGGCTATTGCAATAGTCCACGCTGTTGAGTAGCAAAAGAATGCATGGTCTGCTGACAGCAATACATGTCAATCTCCATTCCTTTAAGTAATAAAACATATTTTAAAATCTTTCAGTGTTTCCACAGGGATTTCTAAGGGACAAAAAAGAGGGGGAAAACTTTCGCCCCACCTGTCATTGAGGGACAGAAAAACTGGTGTATAAGTAAGCATGGTCCTTACATGGCAGCTGATGCACTGAGCCAAACCCCACTTCTTGCCCTACTACTCTGACTAGGGTCAAGCCACTTACCGTATTTAGCTGAATCCAAGATAACTTCAAATTTAAGACAACTGCATATTTAAGATGCCCCCCCCCCCAATAATCAGTTTCTAGATTCTAAATTATAAATTTGTCTACAATCTGATTATAGGAGGGTCATTTTAAATTTGTCCTCTCCACTGTTGTGGTAGGAAAGCAGAGGTGGAGGGCAGAGACAGGCAGGCAGGAAAGCAGAGACCAGGCAGACACCTTGTTCATTCTCCCCTGGTGCATGCTTCTGCACCATTAACATTCCCTCTGCCTGCAACCCTACCACTTGTCCCTCTCCCTCTACTGATCCTGGTGCAGGGGAGCCCTGAGCTGCTTCTGCCTCGTGCTTGGCAGTGCACAGGTTCCTCCTTCCTTGCTGACTCCTCTCTCCCCTTCTCCTGTCTCCCCCACTGGCTGGGAGCAGGCTGTATGCAGTGCAGAGCTGGGCTCCCAGCACAGTTGCTCCCTATAGCACGGGGCAGGAGCAGCTCTGGAGCTCTCCTGTGCCTGTGACAACTGAGTGCTAGCTAGACCACTTCAGCTAAGAGCTGTAGGGACCTGCTGTGCAAGGAGCCCAGCTGGCTGGAGACAGCAGCAGCACTCAGATTTTTCCTTCCCCACCTGGCTCCCTGTTAGCAAGGGAGACAAGGGGGAGGGGAGCTGGGCAGGGAGCAGACACTGGAAGCAGGAATCTGTCTGCCACTGATGCTGTCCCCAACCCATCCAGGCTCCCTGCACAGCCACTTCCCTCAGCTCCCAGCTGATACTCAATTCTAATGCGAGTCTTTATTTTCCTCATGATGAAAGGGGGAAAAACCTTGTCTTGGAATCAAGTAAACACAGTATTTTAGCTCAGAGGATAGATGTACTGTTTCTTTAAAACTGCAGGATGCAGTAACTATACTACAGTATTGAAACTGAGGAAACTTCTTAGGCAGAAGCTCTGAAGTGCATGATAGAAAGCTTCAAGAAACAAAGCTCACATTTACCCTAGATGTTTCTTAATCAGTTTTTAAAAAATCATTTCTTTTTTCAGTGATATATGATGATTGGATACATAGTACTCCTGTGAAAACTGTGATGTTACTTCCTTGTGTCCTTTCTAGACTCCGATATCTAAAATAGGACCCCCTTAAATTATTGTTTGTAAGCAGATGAGGTATCTAAAATAAATAAAAGAACTGGAAGATGGCACTC